AAGATAGGCCCGAAAACTGTAGACTGCATATTCATTGGATATGCACATAACAATAGTGCTTATCGGTTTCTCGTGTATGAATCTAAAATCCAAGATATACACAGAAACACGATAATGGAGTCAAGAAACGCTTCGTTCTTTGAGCATGTGTTTCCATGCAGATCTGAAGAAGAGGCAAGTTTTTCTAAACAGACGTATGAGACCATGACTGAACATAGTCAGGACCAAGAACCAGAAGAGGAGATTGAGGTTGAACCTAGACGTAGCAAAAGGGAAAGGACAGAAAAATCTTATGGTCCGAATTTTTTGACCTATATGCTAGAAAGTGAACCTCAAAGCTATTAAGAGGCTGTGAACTCCTCAGAAGGATTTCAATGGAAAGAGGCCATTAAAAGTGAAATAGATTCTATCCTACAAAATCATATATGGGAGCTAGTGGATCTTCCACCGGGAAGTAAACCACTAGGCTACAAGTGGATTTTCAAACGAAAAATGAAAGCAGATGGAACAATTGAAAAGTATAAGGCCAGGTTGGTAATAAAAGGTTATAGACAACGGGAAGGCCTCGATTACTTTGATACATATTCTCCAGTAACGAGAATAACATCCATTAGAATGATACTTGCGATTGCTGCTTTGCGAAATCTTGAAGTTCATCAAATGAATGTTAAGACTGCCTTCTTGAAAGGAGACTTAGATGAAAAAATCTATATGGAACAACTCGAAGGGTTTTCGTCTCCAGGGCAGGAAAAGAAGGTGTGTAAATTGGTGAAGTCATTGTATAGCTTGAAACAAACACCAAAACAATGGCATGAGAAATTTGACAGTGTCAAGATGGAGAGTGGATTTAAGATCAACGAGTGTGATAAATGTGTTTCGTTAAAAACACTGAAAATGGCTATGTCATTTTATGTCTTTACGTTGATGACATGCTTATTGTTGGCAGCAACAATAAGGTGATCAAATCCACTAAAACTATGTTAAATTCGAGATTTAACATGAAAGACATGGGTCTAGCTGATATTATACTTGGAATCAAAATTTCAAGAACGTTGGATGGTCTTGTTCTAAGCCAGTCACATTATGTGGACAAAATCCTAGGAAAGTTCAGTAAGGATGATACTGAAATGGCTAGAACCCTGATAGATACGAGTTAACATCTATCTAAGAATAAAGGTGAAAGTGTGTCTCAAGTAGAATACTCGAGAATTATTGGAAGTCTGATGTACTTGATGAGTTGTACAAGACTAGATATAGCCTACACAGTGAGCAAACTGAGTAGATACACGAGTAATCCAGGAGCTGATCACTGAAAAGGAATAATAAGAGTACTAAGGTACTTGAGATATACTCGTAATTTTGGACTGCACTATAGCAGATATACAGCGGTCATTGAAGGATATAATGATGCTAATTGGATATCCGACATAAAAGACTCAAAGTCTACGAGTGGATTTGTGTTCACATTGGCAGGTGCAGCTATATTATGGAAATCTTCTAAACAAACAGTGATAGCCAGATCCACTATGGAATCTGAGTTTATAGCTTTAGATAAAAGTGGTGAAGAGGCTGAATGGCTACACAACTTCTTAGAGGATATTTCAAGATGGTCAAAGCCTGTGCCAACAATTTGCATATATTGTGATAGTCAATCGGCAATTGGAAGGGCACAGAGCAACATGTATAATGGTAAGTCTAGACATATACGTCGTAGACATAATACCATTAGGCAACTACTCTCAATTGGAGTTATCACTATTGATTATGTAAAGTCAAAGGATAATATTGCGGATCCGCTAACTAAAGGGTTAAATAGAGA